AAACATGTAACACTAGCTCTTATTTTCTCCTAGACTAATTAAATAAAATAAAATTAAAAATACGAATTTTGAACCTGGTTTAATATAATAAAAGTCAAAGAATTAGGCAAAATAATTAGCAGATATTCAAATCAAAGATAAATTGGAATTCTAAAGCTATCAGAAAAATATTATTCTCAAAAGTCAAAGGTTAATTTTTTTATTTTTCTGATTAAGCTATGTTAATATTTGTTAAAATTAATTCTTGGCTTAATTTTGGCCAAAATTATAATTTTCCCAGAATTAAAAACATCCGGGTCGATCCGGGTCAAAACCCGGGTCAAACCCGGGTCAAGGAAATTTATAACCCGACCCGGCGGGTCGGGTCATGCGGGTCATGCGGGTCACGGGTCATTAAAAATCATTAGTATCGACCCGATTTAAAAGTCGAGTCGGGTCAAATTAACCCGGGTTGACTCGTATCATTCGGAGCACTATGAGCATGAAATATTTTTACGTTAGGGTCTTCACCAACTTCAATTGTTGTATCATAATATTTATCATCTTTCAATAATTCAAGGTAATTTTGACTTAATTTCGTAAAAAATTGAGTAAACATTTTTTTAAAAGAATAAGGTTTTTATTGTGGTGGGAAAATTTATAATTATTTCATACTAGTAAACTAACCCTTTACGTTAAATTGTTGCCAATCTGCACAACCTGTGGCTTATCACTTTCAAATGATTGCTTGTGGCTTTTTTTTTTTTAATATTAATAGCCGCCGCTGTTATACCCGTGAACTCGGTGGAGGTAGAATCAAGAGCATTTATTAGGCTGTTCTATAGCAACTTTATTGTTTGTTTAATATACCCCACCCTCTTTTGGTAAACATATAATGACGGCCATCGGAACGTACACATGACCCCTACAGCCAATCAAATAATTCTAACCATGACAAATATGGAGTAGATCAGCAGGCGCAAAAGTATCTGTCACGTGATGGTTCAATTAAAGATATTTGAAATGCTCAGTTAAATTAGAGATCTGAATAGAGGATTAGAAGTTAAATTTCGTCGGAATTTAATAGAAATTTGGCCAAAATGAATGAAATCCGAGTTTACACTGACGGCCAGCTGTAGGCTTCTAATACTAAAGAATTATATATACCAAAATTTCCCTGAAAACTGTTAATGAGAATTTGGCTTTACCCTTAACAAATGAAACAAAAACGATTAATAATCGTTAGCAAGTATGAGATTTTATTTATTCTAACTTGATATAAAGAATAAAATAAATATTATTTGCGTATAATTAAACTCGTAAAACCATCTAGTTCAGAAAGTAGTTATTAAACCCTGTACGCCTAGTTGTTTGTTTGTACTGCAAGCATGACCAATCATGTAAAATCAAATTTTGAGCTAACTCACATTGGAATCCTACGGTAGATAATAATTCATTGCGAGTTGATGATCCTATATATTTTAGAATAAAATTTATAAAATTTTCATAAAATTTTATAATTTCTTTGAGTATTATTAAAATATAAATATATCTTTTCGACTTTTCTTATTTAAAGCATCTTTCTTAGTTCTTCCATTCAAAATAATTATGGAGTTAAAATAATTATTATAACTACATGCATCCTTCACAATGATTAATATATAAACTATGAATTAATGTTTATCATGTAATGCTTATAAGTAATTGTTTTTCTGAATACAGTAATTGTATATATATAATTTTATATATATAATTTTAATATTAATGTTTCATTTTTCGTAAAATTATAAGTTGCGGCAAAAAGTTTTAATGAATTCTTATAATTAAAACAATTCTATTATAGCTTTATATCTTTTATGAGAAAAAATTTATCAGACATATGGTTTTTATAATGAAAATGTCAAAAAAATCACCATGTGGTGATCATTACCGCACCAGCATCAAAACTGATTCTGGTAAGATGATAATCACCAGCGTGATATTTAGCAATACTATTTATAATTTAATTTATAATTCGATTTAGAAGAAATGAACAATATATACTATTAAACTCGTCACTATAAATATAATTTGCAATTTGCAAAATTTAATACTAAAATTTAAGCGATAATGATCTCATATTGTAATATTGTAATAAAAATAAAAATAAATTATTACTATACACGTACATATAAAATAAAAATTTACATAATGTAATTGTAACCTCTAATCACCGATAATCAGTAAAATCAGTTTCCAACTAAACAAAGAAATAATATATTCAAAATCAGTAATTACTAATCCCGGATCAACAGTTATTGGAAAAGCCCAGTTACTGTAAAGTTATGGCGCAGTAGAGTTAACCCATGAAATTTGATGCATCTGATTCGACAAAAGAAAAAAGGGCGTTAAAAGATTTAACTATTTAAATAAAGGTATTCATTTTCGAATTTAAAAAGTTCAGAGGATGTTTAGTGTTAGTGCAGTATAGTTAGTTTTTTAGTTTTGGTAGTTCTTTAGTTACTTCTTTCTGGGAGACTTTTTAGATAGTATTGTTTTTTTTTTCAAGGATTTTAATAGCAGTTTTCTTTTTATAACAGCAGCAGTTATTGAATATTGCACTAGTAGATAGCTAACTCATAATAATTTTATCTATATGTTCTTTCTATATACTAATAAAACTGGTTGAAAAAAAAAATAATGATTAATACAAGTGACTATGATGACTATGACAGAGAAATACTGACGAAAGATTGTGTTACAAATGTAAAGGTCTTTATTAGTTCGTAAGAATAGTGCGCTTCGGATAATACTAATGATAAAGTTTAAGTTCTATTTATGGTACTTTAAAAATTGTTCTGTTGAGTTTCTGATTAGATCATATCCGATTCAGATCCCATTAATATAATAGATAAGAAATGAACAACTGCCATTAATTTTATTAATAGCGCTAGTAAAAGAGAAAGACAAAAACATTTTCAACACGTTAAAAATGAGAATGAATTCAAATGTCATATCCAAGCCAAAAATTACGTTTAATACTAATGATGAGTCTTTCATTCCAAAACTTATCCTGATACATCATTTGATATACTTAGTACTATTACAGATGATAATCTATTAAAAGATTCATCTGAATCACAAATACCAATTATAGTTGAAGATAGAAATATAAATTCCCCATGCTTACCATTGGTTGATATTAACCAAAATCAAGTTCATACCAATGTTACAAACCAAATATTAATGGTATGTTTCAAAAAATAATATAATTAATAATAATTAATATCTAATAGTTTGCTGATGATTTAAATTCTTAATATAATTATTGAGAACCAAATGAAGAGACCTTTTAATCTTCATGAAAAGATGTACGATTAAACCATGGCTATGTTTCAAAACAAGAAAAAGCTAGCAAACACAAGTTAAACAAATCAAATCCATAACTGAAAAATTGGAAATTATTATAGAAGGGAGGAAAAAGTCCGAGCAGTGGGAGGTATATACATTTGTAAACCATATTTTTTATGTTCTATTTTAATTTTTATTTATATGATAGCAATTTGTGAAAGATGGAGGAGTTAAAGAAATAATAAATGACTGCCTATATCCAAAGGAAGAAACACTTTTATTGCATATAAAAAGACATTTAGCAGTAATGGCTCCTGAAAAAATGCAAAAATATGAACTGACTAAATGGAACATCTTGTGGCAAAGAATTGAAGAAAAGGTAAATTTAGATAGCCTTTTTTATTATCTTTTTATTTATTCATATATTATACTAATAATTGTACTATTATAATAATTATTTAGGTTGGTTCATATTGTTATTCATATTATTATAGAAGCTTATTTGGAACAATATGTTGGCATACGTAGTCATGTTTGAAAGGTCAATTAGAGAAATGAAGTAGATACATCTACTAGCCAAACAGATCTTGCTATATGGAAATCAAGTGATAAAGTCCGGATCGTGGTTTGAAAATCTAGAAACTTTCTTCGATGAAGATGATGAATCTTTACTTTCTCAAATTGTTACAAAAGTGTTTGGTAAAAATGCAACTAAAAATAATACTTTTGTAATTAAGGCATGTGTTCAAATATGTTGGATCCTGAATACTCAAAGATTGAAATGGATGAAGATTATATTATTTCAAAATTAAATCAATATGCTGTGAGATGATGTAAATGTAAATTCAATATTAGTATGATTATATATAATATTTTTTTATAAATATGATTTTTTTATAGTATAACGAATATAATAATGAAGATTTTAGTTCAATATCATCAGACGATTATTAGCTAGTAAAATTTAATAGCTATAGTAAAATATAATCATATAATATTTCAAATAAATAACAATTTATTAAATTTATTATCAAATATAATACTTATAGTAATACATAAAATCTTATTTGAATTTAAAATAAAAAATTTATAATTTTATATAAATTTATTTTACACATAAAGTCAGGTCTACATGAAATCCATGTTGGGTCCTTAAAACTATGTAAAATAGTATTATAGATTATATATATATTTTTTCACATAAACCTACATAAAATATAACTCCAGATGTAGTTATATTCATATTTGATCAAATACTCAAATACCTATTAATATATTGTTATATTTACTTCAATTTACCATGAAAATTTGAGTGATATGTCCCTTAAAAGAAATTGCATATTGTGAAGACTACATTGGCTGGAATATCTGTGTTTTAAGACTATTTTCAGACCATCTATACTGGTTGAGTCAAATGCTTTGCTGATATCTTGAAAAGCAATCCACAGTTCCTTTTGGTGAGTTTGCACATCTTCTGCCATAATTGCATTAATTAATATATATAGGCATGATAAAAATAATAGCAAAATAATAATACTGGATAATTTTCCAGGTATTTTAAACAATAAAGTTTTTTTCTCTATGATAATAATAACTAATTGAATTTTTAAGCTTTATAAGATACATTACTCCATTGACATTATAATAAACCAAGTTTTTCTCATAAGCTATCTTACTATAGATTAATAAATTTAATTAATTAAAATTTTTCTAATATGTAGATATTTACTCTGTCATATGCTTTTAACATATCTTGTAAAATAGATCACAAATTTTCATTTCATTTAAAATAAATAGTGGTTTAAATATATACTAATATGCAATGAGTCAGTAAATTATTTACTATATATACAATAATCCCCATTTAATGATCTATAATTTAAAACTGATATCATAGTTATCATAGTTTTCATCCTACTTATAATTGGTCATATGTTAAATTTAAGTTATGCTTCCATTATTTTGGTTTAGTTGGGTTTATTTGGAAATTCTTGCATTTATACATTATGTTAGTATATAAATATATAAAGTAATAATATATATATATTGATTAACTGAGAACTTCAACATTATAAAACTATCTACAAAAGTATAGGATAACGGGTTGGTTATGAAATTTGCTACTTTCATGTTTCATCACTCCTCCTGTTGTAATATTACTAATGTAAGATCACCAAATCGAACCGTCATCACAAACTGAAGTATATATGCTTTTGACATATCTTGTAAAATAGATCACAAATTTTCATTTCATTTAAAATAAATTGGTTTAAATATATACTAATATGCAATGTGTCAGTAAATTATTTACTATACAATAATCCACATTTTCTATAATTTAAAACTAATATCATAGTTATCATAGTTTTCATCCTACTTATAATTGGTCATATATTAAATTTAAGTTATGCTTCCATTATTTTGGTTTGGTTGGGTTTGTTTGGAAATTCTTGCATTTGTACATTATGTTATATATAAATATATAAAGTAATAATATATATATTGATTAACTGAAAACTTCAACATTATAAAACTATCTACAAAAGTATAGGATAACAGGTTGGTTATGAAATTTGCTACTTTCATGTTCCATCACTTCTCCTGTTGTAATATTTCTAAAGTAAGATCACCAAATTGAACCATCATCGCAAACAAAGTACTATTTTCTTTGAAAAAAACCTTATCAAACTCTTTTTATGTGAAGTATATCTCCATTTTAGTTCTTATTTAATTGACATTTATTGTTGGTTTTCATTGTTATAAAATTAGTAACAATAGTGATATAGTAATAAAGTGCTTCTGACTATAAAAAATTATTATGCTTCTCAGATATTTGTCAAAATATTTATAAAAAAAGAGTACTACCTAAATGTAAAGTTAATTTCTATCACTTACAGTATATATCGATACTACCATATTTTTCTAATACAGAATCATTATATTCTAGATTATGATGCTGCTAACAATTTCTATATGCGTCTTTTAAAACGTCTAAGATCCTCTTAGTAACTTTGACAAGCTTTTCCTCTTTTTCTTTCCAGTCTTTATTGTGATATAACTTGTCTGGTAAAGTCTCTATAAGATTATAAGATCTTCATTAAATTTTGAAACAAATTTTTTACATTTTTCTTTAATGATTTCTTAAGGTGTTATTTCTGCTCTTTTTAATATACCTTGACTTTTTTTGTTTACTGCAATAAATTCTTGTAGTAATTAAATGTATGCTTAAATTACATGATTCAGATGAACTATCCGTTTCATATAACAGTTCAATTCATATATTAATTATCTGATGATTCATCTAACTATTATTATCTGTGTCTTTAAGTCATCATTATTTTTTTTAAAAGAATAAAACTAATAGAGTAATAGAAATAAGAATAAAAATTATAATATGCTTCAATTTCAGAATTTTAAAGTTTTAGAAATGTTAACTTAATTCCATTTTGGAGGTTGTCACTGAAGTCCATTTTATATAAATAATAAATATAATAAAAGCAATTGATCTATTAAATACAGTAATTTGAGCAACTGATGATGAGTATCAGCGTTTAATATGAGCATCTATACCAATTATAAAGTTTATTACAATATTACCAATCCTGGCAAATTGTAATCATTGTGGTAAGTATTGTAATATATTAATGTTCTCATAGAATAAATCTATAATAATAATGTCCATAATTTATTCATTTTTCTTCAGTATTTGATTTTAAAAGCAGTGCTGATAATTTTCATTTCAATATGATATTGATTCCTTACATTTATCTTTTAAGTTGCAAAATTCTCTTATTAGTATTCTAAGCTGCTGATGTTCTGAGAATTTTGATTTGTCTATGATTATTTAATATATTTATGGTTGTGATGCCAACAACTTATTTGGATCTTCATCTTGCATTTTGAACAATTTCCAAGTTGATATCAAATAAGAATTTTAAAGTAGGAATTGATTAATTATATGAAAATAGGAGATATAAAAATAAGAGTATTTAAACAAAATGTATTTTGTATGTAAAAACCCATAGAAGAAGAAATTCACATGATGCTAAATTTACATTTTTTTGGATCTAATGATGTTGGTTATATCATATTGAAGAGTGAATAACCTGTTAATAGAAAATTGTTTTTTTTTTTTAATAAAAATATTTGGGAGATTATAAAGTATTCAAATCTTATTTTAGAAAAATGATGTGATTGAATATTAAGATAAAGGGAATTTAAAGATTCATCTATAAATTGTATTTGAATCTCATTTAAATTTAGACCCTATGTTGTTCTACTATATAAAATATAGAAAAAGGTAAATACCAATATATAATTTGTTAATTTATTCCTTCACTATCTATATTACATAATTTTTTTTTTTAGAAATAGTATATATGATAGTATAAGAATTAAAGGGAGGGAATATTTTTTTAAAAGAAATGGATATTTAAATATTTCCATAACGAAATGTGGCAGTGCAAAAAATTTTGTTTGTCAGGCTACACAGCAACATCATCAGTGTAGACCTATGACCTGCTAGAAAATTTTTTTGCTGATCCAAACTCCATCTCCAATATCTAATTTCTTATTATTTTTTACTCTATAGAATTAGAACTTAGTTCCAGACGTTCCTTAATATTAAAAATTATACATTTTGGTGAATTACATTGATTTATTCAGTGGTATGTGATATCATTGTTGTCATTGACCATCAATATTTATTTTTTAGTGATCTTTTTTTTTGTTTTTAAAATAACTTCCTTTGAGGCTGCATGGGCTGTACCTTTTCAGCTGGTTGAGTGTAATGAATTTGCATTAGTATTCTTTTGACTTTCACTTGCAAATCTATCCAAAAAATTGATGACTGTTACATATATAATATGAATCTTCTATAGATGTTGTAATGATAATGGCAAAAGTGGTAAAAAATAATTTCTATATGTAATTTTAAATGATTATAATTTATGAATTATATGAAGTATTGGGATCAAGCATAGCATTATATGACTTAAGATATATTATTCTTAAAATAAAAGGTAAAATAATGGAAAATAAAATAATTTATTCACTATCAATACTTCATCATGCCTAATATAATGGTTGTATGCCAATATCCTTAAGTAAATAGAATAATTTCTATAATATATAAATAACTCTTTCAATGTTTAGAGGAGGACTTTTTAATTATTACCAAAAATCCTTATTATATCATCTTTATTAAAAGATGATGTAGGATATTTGTAAGTGCTGTATCCTTCTTCTGAAAGGTTCCTTATCTATTCTATAACCAGGCTTGATTGCATTTTCTTGAAAAGACTTCTTGTTGAAAAGTTCTGATTTTTGAAAGTTCTTTTTAAGAATTCTCTGATTTTCTTCTTTTTTGCTTAAGAAATAATTGCAGTATCTAAAAATAAAATTCTTTTTATAAGCAAATTGGATCACTTTAAGTTTTCATATTTCTTAAAATATTCAATAAGTAAATTTGTTTCTTTTGCATTGTTAGTTATTTTATAGCTTTTAACTCTAAAATTTTGTGAAACTTATTCATGTTCTATAATTGAAATATGCACATACTATTTCAAATATTTTCAACTATGGCTAATAATCCACTTGCCTAGAAACTGATTTCTTCTAATATATGGATCCAGTTATTACTTTGATTGAATGTTAAAAGTAGTATAATAATTCAGAATATTATAATAAATGTAAATCATCTGGTTTTTTATTATAGCTAAAATTACATAATTTCATATTGTTAACTTATTAAACATTTTAAAAGTAAAATTGTTCTTGTAATTACCAGGAACTATATTCTCTCTCTGGCCTTGAAAAATTTTAAACACTAAAAAGGTGTACTGTACTTAATTTGTAAGGTCCATCTTCTTTGAAAAGTTATGAAATGGTGGTTTTCCACTTGATTCTCCCATAATAGCATGCTAACATTATATGCATCACCAGAATGATATAAG